TACACACAGAGGCACCACCCTGCTCACACAAAAAACACACACTACTCAACGATACCACATACACACACACACACACACACACACACACTACACATACACCACTCACACACATAACCACACACACATCACATGTACACCACTCACACGCATAACCATACACACACACACACACACACACACACACACACACACGCATCACCATGAATCTCTCCGGGAAACTGTAATACACTGTTCTAGTATCAGTTTGATACTGACTGGATTGAGGCCCCAGCTTAACTGCATCTCTATGTCACCAAGAACGGCTGAAAACACATCACAGCATGGCTTTGTCTCAGTGAGAATCGGCCAGCTACGCATCCCATGGGGGTGTCTCCTCAAAGGTCGATCCGTGTGCGAGGTTCTCAGGGTCTCACCTTCCGAAAGCCGTTTTCTCCTGGTCCCTTCTCTCCACGACTCTCCTTTAGCTCGTAGGGTAAGGCCGAGCTGGCTCTGCTGGTAGAATGTAACGTGCCCGCGCTGCCCAGGTAGAAGGTGGGAAAGTGTAATGAAGGCTCACCTGGCTCTCCGCACTTCCACCACCCACCCGCCACACTGCGAAGCGTGTATTTGATCTTCCTCCCATTTCCTGGTGTACGTCTCCTAAAATCCTTGACATTTCCAAAGTGATATCTTTGTGTATGCTACTGAGTACATTGATGGCTATGTGGCTTCAGGGTGGTGGGGTGGTTCGGGACAGGTCAAGACGGGATTAAGTGGGTGGGAATTTTAGTCGTCCCCCAACCTCCACAGAGTGGAGGGACAGACAGACCGAAGATTAAGCGGGTCACCAGTGGCCAGGGATTAAGCAATCCTGCCCCTGTATGGGAGCCGCCATGACCCCCAAAAGGACAGGGCTAAGAAAGGTCCCGGATAGACGGACATATGGGCAGAGGTTGCTGGAAGCAGTGAGTCAGAGAAGGCATGGGGGCTGTGAGGGCCCCCCTCATCTGACTGATTATCTGGATTCTTGCGTGTGGTCGGGAGGAGGTCGTCTTTGAGACTGAGCCCTCAATTGTGGCGTCTGGCACCATCTCCAGGTAGACGGTGTCAAGACTGAACTCGTTTAAAAGACATCCCGCTGCAGAGCTGGCTGCTTGCTTGGGCTTAGTGTGTGAGAAAAAGCCCGCACATGTTTGGTCCCAGAGTCTCCGACTGGATTTATGAGAGCAGAGAATACGCAGTACCCAGGCCACTCTCCGTGGCCCCCCACGTGGGGGGTATGTCCCCCCAGCTCCCTCCCATGGGCCAGTAAGCTCCAGTGAGAAAGGCAGGCACCCACTTCCGGGTGGTTCGGTAGGGCAGATGAGACTGGAGCAGACAGAGGGGTAGACAGCCTCGTTTAGGACAGGGCTGGCCAGTTACTGTTTGTGTGCAGCTGGCCGTGAGAGTTGCTCCCTTGTTCCAGATTCCTCATCTTCATACAGGGACTTAAGACTAATCAGGCCTCCGTCTTGGGCTGTGGCGAAGATGATCCCCCAGAACTTGTGCCCAAAGGGTGGAGTGTGATGTTCTGTTCTCGCTGCATCATCTCACTGCAAGGATGGAGGCAAAAATGTTCTCATAGATGCATCCTTTCCTGGCATTTTTTGTTTTAATTGCTAGACAGTGCATGCACTTGCCAGAGAGAGACAGAGAGAATAAGAGACAGAGAGAAAGAACCCTCCTCCCCACATGGGGCATGGTCACTCCACCACTGTTTCTCCTCCATTTCTCCATCCTGTTGAGATGCGGGGCAGGGGAACACATGCTTGGATTTTCCAAGCCACTGGGGCGGGGATGTGAACAGTGGTCAGCCCAGTGGGATCAGGAATTGGCCATCAGGCTACAAGGCCGGCCCTTTCTGGGCATTTTGTTCATCTCTCAAGTAGCTGGAATCTGGAAAGACCGAGTGGGGCAGAGAGGTGGCTTCCTAGGGCTGCTGTCGGGGGTGCATGGCTGTGGTGTGACCAGGAAGTGGTCCTAGCTCTGGGTTCCAGCCTCTGCAAGGTTTTCAGGCTCAGGGGCGAATCAGAGCCTCAGAGAGCCTCAAATTGGGAAGGTGTCAAAAACCCATGTGGCCTTCTCGAATTCATGGGCACCCAAGGACTTTTGGATGGTTCTAGCAGGGAGCCAGACCCAAGCACGGTGGATGTTGAAGTTCTTGTCAGGCAGCAGGATGAGGTTAGAAATCAGATTTAACGAGATAACCATGGCGTTGTCTGCACAGCCAAGCTTCTCGAGTGGGCATTCCTCTCAGGACTCCTAGAGTCCAGTATGAACGTGAGAGCTTGCCCTGTTCCCACGCCTGCTCACTCCCGACTGCAGCCACCCAGGAGCTCCGACCCCAGGCAGGCCTTCACCCTGACGCCCCGCACTCGCGTTTGAACCTCTCAAGGCCTACTGAGTCTACGGATACCCCAGTGGCCTAAGCATGAGTGAGCACCCCCTCAGCCTCAGTAGACAGCTAGTTAACAGTGCATTTCTGGGTCACCTTCAGCACCCCAGAAACAGACCCTGGGGCTGGGTGAAGGGGGTTGGGAAACTGCATTTTAGCAACATCCTCTGTGAGCATCTTACACTCAAGAAAATCTGGTTTTACTCTAGAAGTGGAACGAGAGATGAAAGGAGATGAAAGGAAAAGATCGGCCGTGACTAAGTGATCGACTATGACTATGATACTCATTCGTTTTCTGTCACAAACGTAGCCGCTCATGCCCCGCCTCCCTTCTGGACATAAACTCAGTGGGTAGGTCTCTTGCGTGCTCAGTCCCCATGGCCTTCGACGGTTACTGCAGAACTTCACCAGACAGGCACCTGGCGCCCACTCAGAACCAGGCTGATGGGCTGAGAACTGCACTGCCCCAGTGCCAGTGCCATGGGCCCCTGAGGGCTGCACACGAGCACCGCCTCTGTCTAGAAAGAACAGGCTCTGGGGGACCAGCAGTTGGCGCAATGGCTATGTTGGTGGACTCCCATGTAGTTGACTATGGTTCGAGTCCCAGACCTGGTGGCTTAAACTCACTCCAGGCGCGTGTGCGGGCGTGCCCAAGATCCCGAGAGGAGAATGGAGGAGAAGGGATTGCGGCGTGGCCATCCCCCCTGGGGAGTGATCTCTCACTTTCTGTCTCTCTGTCTCTGTCTTGATTTCTCGCTTTCTGTCTCTCTGTCTCTCTCTTTCTGGCGAGCGCATGTGCCCTATAGCAAAAACCTCTCAAAAAAAAAAAAAAGAAAGAAAAGAAAAGAAATAACAGGCTCTGTTCTCTGACAGACTCATGTAATAGCATGAATTCATGACCTCGTTACATTAGTAGTAAAATGACAATATATTAATAGCAATATCACAATCAAATAAAGGTTTGGAGGGGAACCAGTTGTCCGGAATTCGAAGTCGGTATTGATTGTTCGTGAGCTTGGCTGATGGCAACGCCTTCCTAATGTGGCCAAGCTGCAGCGGGGAAGGCCAGGGGTAGCTGCAGGGAGCTGTTTTCTGAGCAGAACCACGGGGAATGTGAAAGCAGCCCTGAGGCTGGGGGAACCCCTCCCCGAGGGAGTTCTTTGGGAATGCTCCTGTCAGAAACAGTGGCTTCTACACTGGCCGTTGGCCCATTGACATAAAATCTTGGCATGTCACCATAGGTCTTTGCAGAGGGGGGTTCTGGTGTGCCCCTGGAAGGCGTCCTTCAAGGGCAGTGGCACCCAAGGCCCAGTTTGGCAGTGCCCAGTGCCCAGGTGCCCCGAGGACATGGTAAGCCAGGTCTCTGTCTGGCAAAGGTGCAGGGTCGTGGTGGGCCATGCGTGGCTAGATCTGGTGGAGCCGCGGGCAGCCAGGTCAGGACCCATTCTGTGGATCCCTGGGTTTTGCTGTAAGGAATGCCTCCCTCCCACCGGGCGCCCCACATGGCCTTTGGGGCACACTGTGAGGAGACCCTTGTATAAAAGGAGGGAGGCGAGGTAAATCTGAGGAGAGCCAGTGGAGGGAGGGCCGGGCACTCGCAGGGCCTTGCAGGGCACAGTCCCCAGGCTATCTCTGTGGACGAAGGGTCTCCTCCACTGCTGGCTTCTTGGTCACCTCTCAGCCCAGGCCCACAGAGGGCACCTGCCTCTCTGGGGGCAGGAAAGTGAGGATGCTGGGGCTGGGGTTGCCAGCCTCAACCTCGTGGCTGCAGCTCCCGTCAGCTGGAGACAGCGATACCGACGCCCCTTATTGCTGGCTTGGTGGACACGGCAGACCATGCCTCTCCTCTGCATACTGGCCGAAGTCCAGGTGGGCCTGTCGTGGTCCCAGGGAAGTGTCAGTCTTTCCATTATTTGGAGATGAGGGGCTGGTCCTCACGTTGGGGGGCGGGAGTTGGCACCCTGACCATTCCAGGCCCTCTTGAGTCCTCACTATGCTGTGGTCTCTCAGCTTGAAACGTGCCCCCCGAACAGAGGCGAGCATCACAGCCCCACGGACAGGACGGCCTGGGTTCACATGAACACACCGGCCACTCCGTCCTCAGGGCGTCTCATCCCTGCTCCGAGCCTGTGCGTGGGCAGCCAGAGGGCTGTGCTTCCCAGTGGCTGGTGGGGG